ACTTTTGATGTGTATCACCAGTGATCAGTCAAGTAGAAACAGTCAAAATATTTTATCAGATTTTCTCAATTTTTGCATGATATTTTCATACAGGACATCTGTTGTTCAAACTCAGGGAAGACTTTATACTGATGAATAAGGTGACCAAGTTTGATAAAGTTTGGAATAGAATTAGTAAAGTTATTAAGCACACAATAACAATTATTAACGATTACGACGACGACGACAACGACAACAACAACGACGGACAAAATTTTTCCCTTAATATACCTTTCCCTTCCATCTTTGATGGTACGGGCAAGGTAAAAAGCACTGACAATCAAATTTTCAGGAAATTTTTAAAATTTCAAGAATTATTGATAAATTCATTAATATTGATAACTGCCTGTTAAAAACAACACATTCTGTCAAAAACTGTCATCAAAATTTAGGGAAAAATACAGAAAATTATAAAATATTTAGCTACTTTTTAGCGGGAAATTTCACATGTCAGAAGTGTTATGTCATATATTATTTACATGTCTTGGAAGTAGAAGTAGAAACAGAAAGTATCATTTGGGACTTGTATTATGTCATTTTTCATAAAGATGTTGAATTTTTAATATCTTATTTGGATAGCGTAAGATAGGAGTCAGAATAGATGGCTGAACTGTTAGTGTCACTGACCTCCGATGATTCAGCCCCACATATATGGAGATAGTCGTAACCTGGATATATTGTGAGTCATAGCCCAATACTCAAGTCAATTGTTCAGATCCCCCTCTAGGGGATATTGAGGTAAGTAAATTTTCCCTCTCCTAGAAGCTGATTTTTCATCTCTAAGTCGATGTGTTTGTAGGTTGTTTAACCGTTTCACGACCAGTTCCCTTCTTTCCTCACAAATTCACAAAATAGTCCTGTTTATAGTCCGCAATTTCCTTCAGACGATTGGGACAAAAATAGCCAATTTTTTGAGTAAAAACTGAAAATTCACTCAAATGTTTTTCTGTTAGCTCCAAAATTAGGCTTCATTTCCAGAAATATTGAGAAATTATAAAAAATTTGGGCGAGAAAGTCTGGTGGTGAAAAGGTAAATGCCAGATTGACCATTCGCTCATGAGACATTCAAATCTGGGTCAATCTAGCTAAAAAATTTTACAATTATTTTTATCTGTGATAATCAGTAAATTGAGAAGTGAAATTCAGAGTGTAATTCATCTCAACAACGAGATTGCTATCAAGCTTGTCATAAAGACAAAAATATCCTAATGTGATACATGTGATTAACTTGGTTAGAAATTCAATCCCAACATCATTTAGTACCATCACAATGTTTTTTTATAATACTAAAAAAATTTTAAAAAAATAAGTATAAAACTAACAACAACATCCATATATTTCCTTCAATTTTGTATCTAACTAATAAACATTCAAATATGATTAATATATTTTTATCAAAAATCTTAAACTAGCATCTTCTAAGCAAACTGTGAACTAGACTACCTTGTGGATGGATACAAGATACAATGGTAGTAAGAAGGGTTGGGATGGATACATTGTCTATAATGATAGTGAAAAGGTTTGTGGAAAGATACAAGTCCTAAAATGGTAGTGAGAGGGGTTGAGGATGGATACAAGGCCTACAATGATAGTGAGGAGGGTTGAGGAAGGATACATGGCCTACAATGGTAGTGAGAGGGATTGAGGATGGATACATGGTCTATAATGGTAACAAAAGCTTTGTGGAAGGATACAATGGTAGTGAGTAAGTAAATTAAACTCACCTTATTGTCACTAAATTAGGATGGTTTAATTTCCGTAGATGCCTAATATCAGTTTCTACTTTGTCTTTAACTTTCTTCACAGCGACCTGCTGACCTTTGTAACAGCCTAGAAATACTGCTCCTTGTGCCCCACTGCCAAGCCATTGCAATCCACTGATGTCTTCAAATGGAACCTCCCAATCATCTAGAAAACAAACATCAACCATCCAATCAATTATGACGCGAGTAAACTTACAGTAGACAACGATGAAGTTTTAACATTTGATATTCTTTGAAGACAAGTCTTCCAATCAGACTGCCACCATGAGGCAATCAAAATGGGGAGATTTTTAACTAACTACAGCAGTATGTCTGCAGAGGGACGCTGCTGTGTAAAATGGAAGCTGAAATATTTCGAGCCTACCTGTAGAATTATAGAGGCTACCAACTCTCAAAAAATGTTTGATTAGGGCTATTTTTCCTGTCTTCTCAAATTATCAAAACACAAAAAATTCAAAGTCTCATAAATGTTCACAATAAATCTACTGCATCATGCACTGCAATGTATAAATTCTTGTGAGAAACTAGAGAAATACACCCACATGTACTACCTGATGCGAGTTTTTCGGCTACGGCCGTTTTTCCGATGATAGTCCATACCGGTCTCAGACAGCCCCAGATGCCTTCGAAAAAGGTGGATCTACGAGGAGGCTGAAAATGAACCGCTGGTGCGGTTTTAACTTGGACTTGATCACTGGATTCTGAATCGGCATTGTAGCGTGCTATCGTTGGCACTGTTAATGGCGTATCTGTTGATTTCAAGTCAATTTCTTCGCATTCATCAAGGCACAGCATGCTGGGGAGATAAAGATTGATTTCTGATGTAATCATTGCTCTTCGAGAAGTGCATATAAAGGGAAGTGTCAAAAAAGTTGAAGGGCAGTGTTCGTCAAGTTCTCTCCCATGCAACGCGTGTAAAATACATAGTTTTCATGAAAATTGACAACCAGAATATACTACACTCCAGTATAATTTCCAGTGTATGCCCTTCTAATACTGTAAAATACTTTATTTTAGCTGGAATTAATTTTCGCTGAAAAGACTTTTTGGGTGTTTTGTATGGAATTTATTTTCACTTATTATTGACAAGTTGAATGTACAATATAGGAAAAAAGGTATATTCGCTGGATTTTATTTTCACTGAATCATTCCTTTAGCGAAAATAACAAAAATTAATTCCAATCGAAAAATAAAGTATTTTACAGTAGAGCAAATAGAGTAGATCAATAGAAGCTTCGGGAAAAGGTAAATTTTTTGCCACAGATAGAATATAAGTATACACAGAAACTGGTCTAAACCAAACTATGTGAAAAAAAAATCAAAATAAATCATAAAATGAAATTCTCTATATAAAGCAAACGGTAATCTGTTGTTTTTTTTGCTTTCTCTGCTTTTCAGTTTTGACAGGGTCTACTGTATTAAGTTAGCACAACCGTTTAATGTCTGAACCAGGGGTTTTGTTAAGAAGCAACTGACGCCTAATTATCTATCTCCTAAGCTTGCTCAGTCAGCTACTTTGTATTCAAAGACTTGCAATCGATAGAGAAGTGTCATATTTTGGAATTATACTAAATCTAAATCTAGCCACCTACTCCAACATTTAGTGAAACCTCTGATGAATAAAGTTTTTGAGAAATTAATTCAATGACAGAAATGTTATTAATAAATCAGTCCCAATTTTTGTTTTTTTTACTTATTTGTTTGTCCAAATTGAACGTCGTCATGAATAATTTATCTCTTGATTTTGAGCATCATTTGAAACAAACGCTAGAACAATAAACCCTAAATTTAAAAGTTTATGATGACTGGTAAGAAAAATAATCTTCACAACAACCAAAGTTCAGTGACCTAAGCATTTTTTTAACTGACAAAATACAAAGCATTTTATCTCTTGACCACAGAGTTTATCAAAACCGTGAGCTATTCAAATTACTCCACGGGGGTCATTGTTCATGCTGGAATCCCAGGGTTAGCCGAACATGCTTATGTTGCGGCCATGATTACAACTACAATACAGCTATCTGACAACCTGTCAGATGCATCTGTAGAGAAAAAAAAATAGTCAGTGAGACACCCATTGATTTTGTTTTAGTATTGCTGTATTTAGCCAGGTATCTGTCTATGCTTGTGAAACCACCCACTAATTTTCAGAATCTGGGCGGATAAATTTAAGTGTTGTAAGCCCTGACATGGAAATTTCAAAATACCATAGTTGCTCTATTAGTAGCGCTTACGAGGTGTTTTGATGGTCAACAAAAGTAATTATGTTTATGATAAAGTATAAAAAAAAAATTATTTTGGGTTTACATGTGCTTCTATTGGAGATGGGCATCTAATAAAGAAATTACCACCAATGAAGCTTCTTCAATAGAAGTGCACATAAACCCCAAATTACTAGATCGATGAAATACAACTACAATATTCCAACGTAACTCTGGCATTTACGCAAGCACATAAACTAATAACAGGATGAATTTGTATCACAATATTTTTGAAAAAAAAAAAAAAAAATGCATAATTTCTACACCTATTCAGATTTTAGAGATTTTGTATGAACCATTGTAGGTCTGCCCTTGAATAGATTAAATCCAGTAAATGTTCACATGCAAGTATCTAAAAATTCAGCACATTGTTTTCTGGTCCTTGGGCATATACATGTACAAACTGTACCTAGATAATAACAGTTCAATCCCCTGTCAGGGTTGGGCTGGAACTTCTATTTACATAATACGCCCTTATAATATTTTAACCTTTTTACCACCAGTTATATCTTTTTATCACAAATTCACACAAAATAGTCCCGTTTATAAAATCTGCATTTTTCTTCAGAAGATTGGTACAAAAAATAGCCAATTTTTTTAGTAAAAACTGAAAATTGACTTAAATTGTGTCTGTTGGCTCCAAAATTATGGTTCTTTTCTAGAAATATTGAAAAGGTTATTTGAATACTAGAAGTAGTAGATAAAATCTATGCATGTAGAGCAATGTATAAGACTTAATTATTAGCTGGGTTTTATTTTTCTATTATTTTACTGACAGTTAAATGCTGAAATTAAAACCCAGTCAATATAGAAATTTAACAAGAGAATGCATTGTTTCCTTAAAATGCCAATGAATCTAAAACTGAGAGAATAATCAGAATGATCATTTGCCCTGTTATTATCATACACACTTACGAAAGTTACAAAGCTGCGTCTATAGCCAAAATAAATAATGCTTGAAAGACCTAACATATGATTAATTCATTTGATGTTTTTCGTGATTTCTATTGAATAAATAGAACAAATACGGTATACATACCTTTTAGAAAAATCTTCATGATCAGTGCTATTTGTCAATATATTTAAGGTAGCTGGACTATGTCTGCTATCAATTGGTTCATCCTTGCTGCCCGTATTTCCATTCGTCCCTGACATACTTGCCATTTTATAAGGCCACTGGGGCTGCATTACATACAGCTGTAAAATAAACACAAAGACAATAAATTACAAATTGGATTTTCTTATTCCCAGAAAAAATTGCTGAGATAATATCATACAAAATGAGTACCGTACTTTAAGCTGGAATTTATTTTATACTGGATTTTTATTTTAAATTTTGTTTTTAATCCATGTGTTAGTTTTACCACAAGAGTTAGCACATGGTGATACATGTATGTCATTTATCAAGGCGTATACTTATAATAGTATACAAACAATGGGAAATTCATTTTCCATCTGTCCCAGGTGCTGTTTGCATATGCATGACATGAACACGCCGACATTTTACCCCATGTGTGACTACAAAAGTCGTTTTGGCTTTGTACAACGTGGATTAACAAATTGACAGAACAGTTTTACAGAATTAAAAATGGGTGACATAAAAATAATAATTTGTTTTTTAGCAACCCCCCCTCCCCAAATATCATAGCAATGGGAGAAAATGGAACACTATAAGAGGGGCAAAAATAAGACGTGTAGATCGCTCTTTCTCAACGATCACGGCAGCTATTTGCCTCTAAGCTCTGCCCAGGTTATACAGTATAATTTATTCGCAATCATCTGATGGAATTGACATGCTAGCAATTAAAGAAAAAGAATATTTCTCCAAAAAAATAAATCAATTCCAAGTAAAATATTTTGAACACTATGTAGCAATAATATTATTTTTAATTTTGTTCCCTCTGTACAGAAAATATATTATTCCTGATGAAAATACTAAATCCCTGAACAGAACAGAACAGAACGAGGCAGATGGGCTCAAACCGTTTCATTTGTATTACTAGTACCTGAAACAGCTAAGAATTAATTATTCACAATATTTTCCTGTATGGAAAAATAAGTCTTTATTCTAATCAGATATTTACATATTAACACATTTCCTTCTGTTTTTCCCACAAATTTTGGCATATCTGAGGATTTGATGATTTTAGTAGGTGTGTAATTGTTAGAAGGAATTTTAGTTGACACTGTATGTAGGTCAAATTAATTTCAAAATTAATTTTATTTCACGTATGTAGACCCCTACATCTCACATGTCAGGAAAAAAAATGAGTGAAATTTCAGATTTTCAAAGAAAATCAGATGTAACTTTGTCCTTGAAAAATTTACTTATTAAAAATATTGAACATTCATAACAGCAGAAATTAAATGTGAACATTATACCCACCAAAATATTTCACACAATTTTAAGTTTTTTTCTATTACTTATTGTTAATTTTGAGCTAAATGATAATGATAAGAACACGCAAAAAGAGAAAATTAGTTTATGCGGGATAAAAACATTTACTTTGGAATACAAAATTGAATAGTTTACATTCCACAGTATGTATATTTGAAGAGAATTTAAATTAAAATTTTATATCTGATACAAAATAATTACAATCAATACGATTGAATCACATTCCAGCTAGAATATATTTTATATTCAGCATGCTGCAAAATATATTTGTGAGTGCGTTATTTTCACTAGATGCAAAAGTAAACGTCAACAGAGAGTAAAGCTATTTTTGATGTCATTGCATCCAATTTGTACCTTGTTTTCTCATCAGAACTGCACAGGACATTACGTGAACTGAGAGACAAACTGTTCATCACTAACATGATTGATCAATACTTACTGAAATCACCATTCCTACCCCCCCCCCCCTAGTGGTGTTATAGCGCCCTCACATGGTGTTAATAATTTATTGACATCACCATCTTGAATTTTTTAAGCCTATTCTTAGGAACCAAATTAATGTTTTTAGTGTTTATTTCAGTGTTGTATTTTCATAATAATCATGGATATGTTAAAGAATTTACAGGAAATACACTAATCAATATTTAATGTTGAAAAAAAGCATGGTATTGTCAACTGCATAATTTCCCTGATCTAATGATTATATTGCACTCATAGAGACAAAATTTCACAAAATTCACCGCGACTTTGTGTTGCAAAAGAAATCTTCATTAAATTGTGCGATTTTCAGACGTGCAACATTCAGGTTTGAAGTAAAAAGTATTTCAAGGATACACAGGCACTAAAACTAATCACATTAATTTATAGCTTTTCTGGGGTATCCTTCATTGTGACCTTGTGTAAACAATTCAGCAACATTAGCTGACTAAAGCTGTTAATCAATGATCGACAGGTAATAACGAAAACCGCTTGCTTCAGCACGCTTCACATTTTTTTTTATAACGTCAACAAACCCATTTTAACAATCATGAATGACAGTTTCATTAATATTAATATTTCAAAAACGCTGAACACATATCCTGCTTTCGGTTTTATGAGACGAACACTTCAGAAAATTTGTATCATTTATCTAATTTACGAGGGTTCGTAATATTTATTACTCCCCCGATAACGAAATCATTTACTCCATTGTGTTACGTGAGATATGGACAGAAATATTACCACATCTAATAACGTATATCACCTTCACCAGTATACAATTATTATATCACCATGGCGATACGCATAATAATTATATACCGGAGAAATATTGTTTTGAATTCAGACTTCATATTGTAATACTACTGGGAGCTACGATAGTACATACTGCACTATAATAAATATTTTAATTATTCAAGCGCCAATGAATTGTCAGTGAATTCACATGTGAATTCATCGGTAATACCATGTCTGTACATACCCATGGCTTTGAGAAAGTAAATTAATTTTGAAATGCAACGTGCTAAAGAATTAATTAAATCATTTCGATGTAGACAGAATGACTGATAGAATAAAACTATATATGGGTTGTGAAGTTTGTGTCATTTCAGGTTGCCCTGTGGGTGTATTATAAATTATCTGATATGTCAGGTTATATGTATTCATTATGTCGGATACTTACAAGGATATCGCATTGTTTCGTTGTCATGCACTGGCATCTGGCACAGTTTTCATTTTTATTGCTATTGTCGAATAAAATTATCGATATAAATCTCTGCATTATTCGTTCGATTGTTTAGAATTGTTTCCTCAACGGAACACAAACACAATTCAGGGGATTGAGCATCATTTAGAAATCGTATTTTCATTAAAACACAAAACTAGATTCTGTATTCAATTTTAATAAAGTGCACCCTATTTATAGAATTATTGCAGATCACTTTACGGAATAACTCAAGATTTCAAATGACCTATATAATGATATATCTATATTATTTCAATGTCACATTCTTACCCCTATCGATTAGCAAAAAAATTGAAATAACATCAGTAAACTCAATATTGAATATTTGAAGATAATTAATACCCCTAATAGTTGCCAGGCAACCTAGAATAAATTATTTATGAATATATATCAGTGAATTGAATGAAAACATAATTTGTGGTTAAAAACGTGACAATGTGCTTTATTTATCAAAATGATGCAGGACTTTATTCTGTGAATTTCTATCGCTCTTTTGAATTTTGTAACACTAAACATTTCTCTGGGATTCGTCAGACAAAACAGCCATAGTGACTTTCATGTAATCTAGCCGCCATGAAGGCCCTGAGGTGATCGAATTGCGATTATATCTTGAAGCCAAATTTGAGTGCTTTAGAGAATTATGCATAGCTTACTTGAATTGAGTAACTGTATATAATATAATGCTACAATGTATCGGATAGGAATGACAAAAATGTGCCCTGCTACAGATTCAGAGTAGTTGTGGAATAATTAAAATATTTGCAACACTTCACACAAATATACTCTGCTACATGCAAAAATATTGATTATTTTTTTAACGTTTTGATCTGAAACTGTAAGCCACGCTGATTTCTATCGGTTTCGCCAACAATCATTATTTAAATTCAGAAAAATTATAAATTATAGAAAAATTTATTTATTCGGAATGTTTTGTTCCTTACACAGAATATTGCGAAATCTAGATGATCCAACGGCGCAATATAAATTTTACAGTCTACTTTAAAAGCAAATGGGGATGTATAGCAGGTTTAATGTCATGGTGTTCTTGTTTTAATCCCAATTTGACAATAAATGTTGACGGTTATGACGTCCATGTGTAGGAGTAACCTACATACAAATTAATGAATAGTTCATGAATTGACGCACATTAGCCATAAATTGTGCTTTTAAAACTTGTTTCTGTAAAATTTTAGATGAAAACTCAACATCAACATGATAGGTATGTTTATTGTACAAGAAATGCTGCAGTACCGGCAATACTGAATTTGCTTCACTGGTCACGCATGCACTTGCGTAAATAACAAAGGTATCACGTACATGTATATACATGTATGGTCAAAATAGGTCAGCTCTAGCATACAATTAATTTTAATATTTTGTTTATGTGTACTGATTTTTGAGATGCGCATCTAATAGAGTAATTATGGTAATTTCTTTTTCTAGAAGTGTTCTACTCCCAGGTTCCATAACGTTACTGCATAAACCAGTTGTGGTAATTTCACATCAGCCCAATATTCAAGAACGATTCATAAAATTGCCACGGCTGGTCCAGTCTATTTCCCAATATTAGGGAGGGATACTCATTTTTATACAAAAAGGGATCTAATTTATATTAGGATACTTTGAATATACTGTCAGATTTCCTTATTGGCACATGCTACACAAAAATGATAATGCATTTCCTAACTGGCATTTTATAAAATATTTCAAAATTCCCAAATAAATATGGATGAAATGATGGAAATTGACATTGCTCATGATTTTGAATGTATTACTTCTGACCAGTACACATTTCTACCTGTAAGTGTTTTGATTTATCAATCTGCACAATTTTCAACTTGTACGAGTTTTCACCAAACACAAGCTTCTAAGAGAGCGATACAGAATGATAGATGAAATTTGTCAGAAAGTTGACCTGTACGAGTTTTGACCATCCACATAGCTTTTAGAGAAATACAAAAGAATGATTGAGTTCGACCATTAAGTCACCATTAAGACGAATTAAAATAGAAAGCCGCTCCCGCCTATCTTTGTAACTTGGATTAATCACCACCTGTACAGGTACGTATCCTCTAC